TTTTTTTTTTTTTTTTTTTTTTTTTTTTTTTTTTTTTTTTTTTTTTTTACAATAAATAAAGGTCATGAAAATGATTGGAATCCGCCGTTTGGCGAGTCGTTACAAAAGTCGCGTTGAAATTAAAAAAGAAAAATGTGTTTCAAATATTTTCAAATAAATTAAACGGGGGGTATACCAAACAATGTACAATACAACAGGTAGGGCCCTTTGGACGAAAAAGTCAATGTTCTACCTCTGTTGTATTTTTGCAACAATGTTTACCAAAAAACAAACATATATATCGTACCTAAACGCAATAAAAAAAAATATATATATATATGTACATATGAGCAAACAAAGCAAAGTATAAAAAGCGTTGTGAACGAGTGATAGGCAAAGAACATATTCGCGCGGGAGGTGGCGTGCAGCAACATCCCGTACCACAGTAGCTACATAGCGCCAATGGGTCCCAAGTTGCTCGCCTACCTTCAAAAAATCCTGCCATCGGCGAGGCCGCGCAGCTCCAAGTGGCTGAGCACCTCGGTGCCCCGCAGCCAATGGGACACGGCCGCGGCTCGGCTATCCTCCGCGGAGTACCACACCAACAACTTGCTCAGTCCCGTCCTCTTCGAGGAAACCTCCGTCTTGATCCCTAAGGACGCCATCGCCATCGAGATAGCGCCCCACGGCCTCCTCCAGGCGATCCTCCGGCGATCGCTCGCCCCGACGGTCGCCAACATACCCCTGACCCAACGGGGCCACGAGGACAACGTCCAGGTGCTACTCCAGGCGCTCGGCAAAATGTACAACTGCGGACTCCAGCCCCAATTGGGTAAGCCAGAGTATATATACTCGCACACATGTATACCCATATACATAACTTTGGGGCGGATATGAGACGAAGGTTGGTTTATCGATGACTTGTGCTCAGACAAGCTGTATCCGGCTGTGGCTTATCCGGTGAGCCGGTCGACGCCGATGATATCGCCCCTCGTCAAGTGGGAGCACTCCGAGGACTGGTACGTGACGTCGTACAGGCTGCAGGAGAAGATAACATCGGGCGAGCGGGTGGTCAACGTCATACTCACGGACGAGGACTTTGAATTCGTGAGTGGCCACATCATTGACGGGCGCAACTTGTTCCCGGCCACGGGATACTTGGCCCTCATTTGGGAGACCGTCGGCATGATGCGCGGTGAGCTCTTCACCGAAGTTTCGGTCGTCTTCGAGGACGTCAAGTTCCTCAGGGCCACGACCGTCAGCAAAGAGGCCAACGTCGAGTTCACTCTTATGGTCCAAAAAGGTCAGGCTTGCAAATACCTCAACTTTAACAACCGCCCGTCTTGCGCGTCTCATGTGCCCACGACAATCATTGACTCGTTGTGTCTGGAATTAATTATTCTTGCGTGACAATTGTTCAAGACTGAAAATTAATAGGTAGGGTACCCCCCACCTGGGGCCAAATCTACTTCCAAGTTTAGTCTCGAAGAATCGAAAGGCATTCCCACGAAATGGATTATCCCATATAATTTACTTCACGTTTGGAATTTTTTCAAAAGCATGAAGACGTCTTGACTCTCCTCCCCCTTTTTTTTTCGGATAACTACAACTATTGTAGGATAAACAAGTGTAAAATAAAAATCGGCTTTCGCTCAAATTCCAAAATAATACACTTTCTCGTATAATTAATAAATTTTGTGGGAACCAATAGGTATGTCCAACTTTAAAAATGACACGCGGTACTTTTCAATTTGAAAAATAAGGGTAAGTATGTTTTTCCCCTCAAAACGATTGTAGGTATATATTTTAGGGGCAAAAATCGGAAATTTACGTACAGATGCACGTGTACGAGCGAGTGTAAAATTATTTATAGGCACGGGGAGGTTCGAGGTCGTCGAGGGCGGCGTGGCAGTGGTGACGGGCTTCGTGCGGGTCATAGACACCTCGAAGGACAAAAAAGTGACACCGAAACTGATGACCACCGACAAAGACGACCCGGAGGAATTGTCGTCCCGCGACATCTACAAGGAGCTGAGACTCCGGGGCTACCACTACAGTGGATACTTTCGCGCCATCACCGGCTCCACCATCGACGGAACGAAGGGCCGAATCTCTTGGCACAACAACTGGGTCGCCTTCATGGACAACATGCTGCAGATGCAGATACTTGGCAGTGACACGCGCGGCCTCTTCGTACCCACGGGCATGATGAAGATGACCATCGACGCCAAGAGCCACCTCGACTACATCCGTACGTTGCAAGACGAAGTTAAAGGTGAGACGAAGCAAAAAATATATAGTAACACGCGCCGTTGCGCTTTTTGTCCACCTTTGATGCATCGGAGTTTGTTTGCTTTGTTCCCCGATGCCCAGAAATTCCCGTTTACGTCAACAAACCTCTCGACGTCATCGTCTCCGGAGGCATAGAAATTCGTGGCCTGAAAGCCAGCGCGATCCCGCGCAGAAAGCCGGCCGGCGAGCCGGTCCTTGAGGAGTACAAGTTCGTCGCGAACGCGGACAGAGCCGAGACGTCGATCCGAGATATGGTACGCCTCGCCACGCACATCGGCTTGGAAAACCACTTGGGCATCAAAATAAAGACGATAGAGCTGTTAGAGGAGGCCGACCACGTGCCCCAGACCGGCAGTCTATTATCGCCCCATATATTCGAGGCGCTGGGCGACATGCCGCTCATACAAGCGGAGGTTGGCATCTTTGGCACCAACGTGTCCATCGAGAACGGGACTCTGCCGGCCGGTGTCACGGTCGGCGACTTGAAAAAGATAACTCCCGACGCCAGCGCCCTCCTGTGCGTAGGCCACGGACTTTTGTCGCCCGGTCGCGCCCAAAACCTCGAGTTGCTCCTCGCAGCCACGGAAGAGGGTGGTTTTCTGCTGTTTCGTGAAAACCCCGAGACCAAGGATGTGGTCAAGGCCGTCCAGAGCAAGGGCCTCGAGGTCGTTATGGAAAAGAGGTGCGGCAAGGAGCTGTGCGTCCTCGTGAGGAAGCGCGGCAAGCTACCAAAGAAGACGATCGTCATACCCATCGTCAACGACAAGTTCGACTGGGTTGACGAGATGAAAAACACCATGAAGGACATTTTGGAGGAGGAGTCTCCCGGCACTGCGAGGATCGTCTTCGTCGGCCAGGGGGATTTCGAAAACGGTACGACCCGACTGCACTGCCATTCAGACCACGCGTTCCTTTTTTTTTTTTTTTTTTTTTTTTTTTTTTTTTTTTAATCGGGACGAAACTTTTTGCTCAACAGGTCTCATTGGATTCGTGAACTGCATGAGAAAGGAACCAGGTGGTGAGATAGTCCGGGGCATCCTCATCCAAGACTCGAAGGCGCCCAAGTTCTCGCTCCAGGAGCCTCTGTACGCGGCGGAACTGCAAAAGGACTTGGCGGTGTGCGTGTTGCGGGAGAACGGCGTCTGGGGTAGCTACAGGCATCTACCGTTGCCCCCGTTGGGCCTGCACCCGGTGCGACACATCACCGCCAACCAGGCCACTCGAGGTGATCTCACCTCGCTCACTTGGTACGAGGGCCCGATACAGGTCGGCTTCGACAGCGAGAACCTCATCAACGTCATATTTTCCTCCATCAATTTCCGGTAAGATATCTCACCTTTTCTTTTTTCTCCCCCCACTAAAATGAGCACCGCTTGACCGCGCACTCTCTTCACATGCCACGATCAATAATCAACACCGATACGGGTGCTTCCACGGGATAAAGAGACATCATGCTGGCCACTGGCAAACTGGCCGTGGAAGTAGTGGCAAAGACGAGACAGGCGCAAGAGTGCGTCCTAGGATTCGAGTATTGCGGCACGACGACTAAGGGCAAGCGAATCATGGGCCTTATCGAGAATCGAGCCATGACCAACATCTGTCTGGCCGATTTTCTCTTGTCCTGGGAAATTCCGAAAGACTGGTCGTTCGAGGACGCGGCGACAGTTCCCTGCGTGTACGGCACTTGCTACTACGCGCTCTACATCAGCGGTACGTTGCCGTGCCCCATACGTAATTGTGTTCTATTATCCTGAAAGTAAAAGTGAAACGATCGTGTGACGCACACTGCAGGCCAAATGAAAAAGGGCGACAAGGTGCTGATCCACGCGGGTACCGGTGGCGTGGGCCAGGCGGCCATACACCTGGCCCTGTACGAGGGCTGCGAGGTTTTCACGACCGTGGGTACCCCGGAGAAGAGGAGGTTCATCCGCGAGCACTTCCCCCAGATTCCGGACAACCACATCGGCAACTCCCGCGACACCAGCTTCGAGCAGATGATAGCCGAGCAGACGGATGGCCAAGGCGTGGACATCGTTCTCAACAGTCTCGCGGAGGAAAAGCTTCTGGCGTCGGTGAACTGCCTGGCTTGGGGTGGACGCTTTTTGGAAATCGGCAAGTTCGATTTGGCGGCCAACAACCCCCTGGGCATGGACTGTTTCCTCAACGAGATCAGTTTCCACGGTATCATGCTGGACAACCTCTTCACAGCCGATGATGAATCGAAAATCATGCTCAAGGAAGTTATGAGCAAGGGCTTGACCAACGGCGCCATCAAGCCTCTGGTCAGGTGAGCGATTAAAATCGATCGTGTACGTAATGTCTTATGAAAAATTAATTTACGTGTCTAAAAAAAAAACAAAAAAAAAAAAAAAAACAGGACGGTGTTCCCAAGAGATCAAGTGGAAGCGGCTTTCCGGTACATGGCCGCTGGAAAGCATATGGGCAAGGTACTCATCAAAGTCAGGGACGAAAAGGAGCCACCCAATAAGCTCATAATGGCGGTGCCGCGCTTTCACTGTCTCGAAAATCGTAGCTACATCCTACTCGGTGGTCTCGGTGGTTTCGGTCTCGAGTTGGGTACGTCAGAGCCCAGATTATTCGTATTCATTTTCAATATGTTGACTCACAAAACTCATGACGATGTATCGGTGCAAGCACAGCCGACTGGTTGGTACTGCGAGGAGCCAAGTACCTGGTCATCACGTCGCGCGTGGGTGTCAGAAACGGATATCAAAAGATGCGCATCAAGACTTGGGAGAGCTACGGCACGAAGGTGGTCGTAGTGTCGGGCAAGGACGCATCGAAGCGCGAGGATTGCCAAGCAATTATCGAAACGGCGTCAAAGCTGGCACCCGTGGACGGCATATTCAACTTGGCGGTGGTGCTGAGGGACGCGCTCTGGGACAATCAGACCCCCGAGTCATTCGAGGAGTCCTTCAAGTCAAAGGCCTGGTCGACCAAGCACCTGGACCTGCTCACCAGAAAACTCTGCCCCGAGCTCAGGCACTTTGTCGTCTTTTCGTCGGTATCTTGCGGCAGGGGCAACGCCGGCCAATCAAACTACGGGATGTCCAACTCCGTGAGAATACAATGATTACAATAATCATACACAACCTTGATGAGCCATGATATTCATGACGTGACTTGTACAGGTGATGGAGCGAATCTGCGAGAGACGCGCGTCCGAGGGCCTGCCCGGACTGGCCGTTCAGTGGGGCGCGGTGGGCGACGTCGGTCTCGTCGCCGACATGCAAGAGGACAACAAGGAATTAGTCATAGGCGGGACCCTCCAGCAGAGGATATCCTCGTGCTTGCACGAACTCGACGGCTTCCTGCGCCAAAAAGCCGCGATTGTCTCGAGTATGGTGGTGGCCGAGAAGAAAGCGGGCTCGGGGGCCAAAGCAAACATCGTTGACACCATCCTCAACATAATGGGTGAGTTTGACGATAAATGAAGGAAAAAAAAAAAAAAAAAAAAAAAAAAAAAAAAAAAGAAAAAAACATATTACAACAATGGCGATGATGATAATAATGGTGAAATAAATGTGGGGACTCGAAGGCTTGAAGGACCTCAAGACGATAAGCCCGCAGACGTCGCTGGCCGAGCTGGGGATGGACTCGATGATGGCCGTGGAGATCAAGCAGACCCTCGAGCGCGAGTTCGAGCTCTTCCTCACGGCTCAGGACATTCGGGGCTTGAACTTTGCTAAACTGCAGGAGATGTCGGCCAAGGAGACGAACGACGGGAAGAAACGGGCCGCGGACGCGGGCTCGGCCGAAGTAGTCACGGGGATGAAGCTCCTCGTGCGGACCGTAGGTAACGTCGAGATCAATCCCGAAACTTGTCTCAGGCTGTCCAGCAAGGGGGAATCCGACCGGGGGGAGGTGTACCTGGTGCCCGGTATCGAGGGCATCGGCACGATCTTTTACGAGCTTGCGCCAAAAATCAAGGCACCCGCGATCTGCCTGCAACTCGGCACCGAGGACGTAGCCCAGGACTCCATCACCAGCATGGCTGACAAACTTTTGCCGGTGTGCACATGTTTTTTCTTGCATCATCCTGCATCTGCGGACACTCATTTCTTGGTAACTTGTCATTTTCGCAGCACATACTGAAGAGGAACAAGAATCGTCGGGACTTTTTGCTGGTGGGTTACTCGTTCGGTTCCCTGATTGCGATCGAGCTCGCGAGGAGGCTCGAGGCAGAGGGACTGCACGGCCGGCTCGTACTCATCGACGGCGCGCCGGAGCTCATGAAACTCATCCAGAGCCAACAGCTGGCCTCAAACAGTAACGAAGAACTTCAGAGTAACATTTTGCTCGGCATCATGGATCTGATAGTACCCGCTGCGAGTCCCGAGGTACCTAAATTTGTCGTTTCTATGTATACCTGATGAGTAATATAATTGCTGTAATTATAATCTTTTACATCATCATCATCATCATCATAGCTGGTCGTGCAACTAGAAAAGTGCTCGAGTTGGGAGGAGAAGCTGCAAGCCTTCCTCAAGGGCTTGTCCGCAAACGCGACAATGGAAATTTCCAGGGAAAGCCAAGCCGGCATCTGTACCGCGGTGTACAAGCGGCTGCTCGCGGTCCAGAGTTACGACGCGTCCCAGCTGCCGCTCTTAAAAACGCCGATTGTCCTACTCAAACCCACGGCGCCAACTTTGCGAACTGCGCCCGAGGATTATGATCTTTGCAAGGTACATTATTCAATTCGCTACTTTTCGATTTTATAAGTATATTATACCCACGGGTATCTTGGACACGTAAAATAAGTACTATACAAATAAAATCAATTCCTATACAGATAACGAGGGAGAAGATAGAAATTCACTACGTAGAGGGGAACCACGTAACGATTTTGGACAACAACAAAGTAGCCATGGCCATCAACGGCGAGCCCATAGAGGATGCGGAAGAATTTAAAAAGCAAATAACAGAGGGATGCACGTCAAAGGCTGCGGCGCTAGCACAATAACTTCTTTTTTCCATAGGATCGAATTGTAAATTAATTTTTTGCTTTAACAAGTATTTCAAAAGTTACAAATACTTAACGAAAGGAGCTCATCCTCTTACATCATACCACTTAAACCAAGAAAATTTTTTCATCAAATCGCGTTGTACGTGGAAATATAGGAGCGATAGATTAGTGAATATTATTTTAGTCTCACAGCTTAGCAGTTAAAGAAATATTTAACAAACAAAATACATACACATATAATATTTACTCTATTATTAAGCACAAATTATTACTTATATTTAAGCTTGATCTAAATATGTTTTAAATAACAATCAACGCCAGAAAATCAATGTATCAATGCTTCATCATTACTTCAAAATATTCATTCAACATTTTTTTGTGTATTCTTACAAATCATTGTTTGTATTGAAAACATATAGTAGAAATGTTAAGTCAAACAATAACATATGTTTAATAATAACCCTTAATAAATTGAGGAAAAAGATTTTTATTCTCTTAACAATAAAAACACCAAAAATAGGTTCCATAAAAAATTTTAATACAATACTTCATGCATACACTTTTTATATCTCGTGATAATAAGGACAATACATTGTATGTACAAAAATTATATCTGTAGCTTAGAAAAGTCATTATTCATGGAGATTATCATGATTTATAAGCCCTTATTAAAACCACGCGTTTCGTTTATTCTTAATCGACAATCATTCAAATATACTATCTAGTTATCTATATTATATACAATGTTAGAGAAATTTTTCTTGAAATTAATCAATCCACTTATGACCTTTTCAAATTATCACAAATAATTTTTCAAAAGGCAGTTAGGTAGTTTTTTTTTTTTTTTGCTCATGTTCATTATGAAAAACGAAAAAGATGAAAAATGAGCGTTCATATAAATTAAAAATCCATGGGCTCCAACGTTGGATTACCAGCATTGACTTCTATTGTTCGATCAAAGTCGAAAATGCTTTCGTTACTGTTGTTGTTACTGCTGCTAATGGTATTATTGTTGACATTGGAAGAATTCATGCCGTTATTATTACTGTTGTTGTTATCGTCGGACGGAATCGGTGATGGTGTATTACTTGGAAAAAAGCCTAAATGCTTGCTTGGGGTCCAAAGAACTAAAGCCATGGAGGGCCGCTCCCTGAAAGAGAAAATCTTATCCAGTTTTACTTTCAGGATTAATTTTTTGTAGATTATTCAAGAGAATCAACCATGGCTACTTACAATTTTGATATAGATTGTGTTAGTAAACTTGATGGTAGAATAGGTTCGTTTTGCAGTCTTTTGACCTCATCAGATATTACTAGTCTAGGTTCACTATGGCTATTATTTGAATCCAAGGAGTTTTTCAAGTCTACATCTAAAAAATTCGACTGTTTGAGTACATTTTGAATTGTTGTTGGTTCAACTTTGTTTGTATCGACACTGCTACTTATATGCAATTCTTGTAAGTGTTGGGCCATATTTTCTTCGGTAATCAATTGCTTAGTAGGTCTCCTTAAAGTAATCCACAGATAATGTTATTTACTCAAAATTTTCTTCCAATAGACTATACTTGAAATAGTTAGGGAACAAACTTACATTTCAACAAGATCTGGTGCCTCTAGTTTTCTTTTAAAAGACCGATCACCTATTGCACATGGTTTTTGACGGCCAGTGAAGTATACTAAATCTGGTTGTTGAGAAGACGAAATAACCCAAGGCATTGACATTGGAGGTACTTGCGGCATTCCCAGCCATTGAGCCTCATTATGCAAACTGCTATTGTTCTGGTGTTGGAATACAGACTGGGGGGTGTGCAGGTGTGCTCCGCCCATGGTACTCTGTGTTCCAATAGGAACTGAGTAAAAGTAAGCTGAAGTAGGCAATGCAAGAAAAACCAAGAGACAATCCAACGATACTTTGTTACTTTTATTTGTTTATCTTTAATTCACCTCATTTTAAAGTTAAAAAGATTTTCTTTTTCTGTTGTGGATTTTCAATGGAGCCAATAGCAATTGTGATTCTTAAATAATAAAAGAACACGTCAACATTCACAAATGTTGACTTTTGTCTCTTGGATCTTTCCTGCCTGCTCTTAATGTGCATCCCCCATAATCAAAGGGGAATCATCCAAGTGAGTGAAAACGTGCAAAGACAAAGTAAAAAACTTGAACGAAAACAAGGATACGAGAAAGATAATTAACAAGTTAAGGGACATGAAGCAGTTGATGTTTCAAGCCCCACACACCAAACAGACCACGCAAATCAAGTATTACATGAGAGAGCTAGGTTATAAGTAGGCATAAGCAACATGTTGTAGACTTACTGGTACGGAAGGCACAGCACCAGGAAACAGATTTCCTCTGTTGGTCGCCAGGCTAAAAGCTGATACAGAACCTGGGGCGATGAAACGAGCTACGATGATGTTGCTGCGTTTCTCAGAAGTATCGCCTGGATCTTCTTATATCTCTCGGATTTTAAAAAGCACTGTTAGAACTTTTCTCTCTTGACAAAATTATACCGTATCACACGTATCGATAACTTTTTAACACAAGTTTTTTACGCGAGAAGAAATACTTCATAAGAACAGCGAACTCGGTATTCGCATAACCAACTCAACATCAGCTAAATAACTGAAGAACTGATGAATCTGACGATTCTGCTACTGACAACGATATATATATATATGTATAGGTGGTCGCGATCGAGCCTCGAAGGTAATAGGTAATAGGGAATTAAACTCGTTTAACTCAACACTTTGTTATATTCCAATATTTACCAAGCAATGTCCAAAGATAGCTGACTCTCGCTTTTTCTATACAAATGGAATCACCATACATGTACAAGTGTATGTACAAATAGTTGGGTTGCGGGTTGTACGCACGGAATTACGGAATTCGGGGATAGGGAGGCTTCGAGTATGTTCTAGCTGTTTCTCTGAAACACCATCATGGTTTAAGTTTAAATAAATAAAATAACTTAAAATTAGTCTAATGAACGCTGTAGATATCAAAATCACGTATATATATTTAAAATTTTGTTTTTCGCTTTTAGGAAGAAAGTGTGTGATTTGACTGCAGAATTAAAAAATATTGTGTATAAAAATGTATAAGGACTAAAAAAAATTAAACTTTTTTATGTAATAATTAAACACTAGTCGAGCCAAAAAATGTACTGAATAACAGCATTTTTTCGAGAGTGACTTTTTTTCTCTCTTTTTCAAGAAAGAAATAATTAATTTTTAAGTGATTAACGCATGATGATCAAGAATATTAATTAAAATGAAAATAATTTGGGTTTCAACTTCAACTTTTTCGTGCTGTATACTTGAAATATTTTTCTCTACGATATCATACTACGGATGCGATTAAATAGAGTATTATAGGTACATGTTGTCTCTGCGATCTTCTTTTCGTGATCTTGGAACGTTTTTTTCGGCTCTTGGTATAATATAGGAAAAACGGCATTCGCACACTTGGTGCATGATCATACCCGACCAAAGCAATTACCTAAAGGACACACGCGTTAAAATTTGCATTGCTCTGGTAGATGGGCACCAGGTATCATTAAAAACTACAACCACAACATTTCTACTTTTGATATATTATTCTTACATGGACACAATGTATTTTGAAAAAATAATTGAAAATTTTTTTTTCTTATAGGTTATTGAATAATGCTTTACAATCAAAAACGCAGAGTTTTGTTCACTAAACTTTTGTTTATTTTTTTTTCGGTTACTTTTTTCTTTGATCACAGTCAGATGCAGAAAGTGTTGTTAATGCGCAGAAAATACATATCTGCCACAGCGTAATAAACTTTAATAAGTATATAGTAATCAACAATTAGAAAATTTCCAAAGTTATAATTTTGAAAAAAAAAAACTCGTTTGCGAACGAGTGGGAGGATCGATTCAAAGTCCACATTATTTTCTTTTGTTCTGCAAACCTGGCGCATGGATCAAAAAAAATTGTTTGTTTTGTAAAAAAATTACAAACTCTTGCAAATAAATTAACACACATAGTTATATAGCACGATAAAGTTCAACCTTGCACAGATCTCGCATAGCGAAACAGCAATTTTTAGATCTTGCACATTAATTATAATCTATTTTTAAATATACTCGATGCACTTCCTCAATTGTTTTTAAAACGTTATGCATGATAGTAAATTATATATATATATATATATATATATCCCTATATATACGTATATACATCGTCAAGAGCGTGGTCACGTGGGTCATCACGGAGAATAGTAAACAAATCGGGCGTCTGCTACATGTCGCAAACAAATAAGACGCTATATTATATACCATGCACACTGCACGCAGATGATGCATATATATATATATATATATATGCATGCAGGTATATTATGTAGACTATACTATACCTAAAAAAACCATGTAAGTAAGATGAAGTATATGAAAAGAAATGGAAAAAAATTAAATTTTTGAAAACGAATTGAACGACATCGGCAAAGTATATGCAGGAAACTCGCTATGGGTGTAAGTTAACTGGTTGCTGTAATGGGCTCTCCTGGGACTTCTCCGAAGAATAAAGCCAACTTTGTACAAATTGGCAGATTGTTTAATTAAAGAGCTGCAATGTATACTTATGAGGCATATATTGCTGCATGGATTTGAAGTGTTTTTGATATTTTGATGCGGGGTTTATTCAGTAGGCAATAATACTTAGTCATGTATTTGTATTTATTATAAGCACGCGCCAATACTACATACACTTATAACCTGACTCCAGAGATGAGTACTCGAGACTCTCGAGAGAGACATCATGCAGAATTGCAGAGTTGCCAGATAGCTAAAAAAAGAGAATCAGCTGCTCTGCAACTATATACACACATATATGTCTATACATGTATTTCGGACCTCTCCGAGTGCTCGGCGCGGAGACTCTCTCGTGAAGATAAAATCCGAACGAAGAAAGGGAGCGGGGAGAGTGGATCGTCGCTTAGCAGTGTCCCGCGCAGTGAGTGAGAGCTTGTGCGGCACGGCACAGCTCGTCGCATGTTCGGATTTCGACGCAAACAAGGACGTCGAGGAAGACGACCGGCCGCTCCCCATCACTGCACAAGTAACACTAGCTGATCATCATCATCATCATCGGGAGGGAGAGAAAGAGGCTGCGTGGGCGCAGGTTATCCCAGCCATGCCTTTACCTTTAGTAGCTGGGCTCTGGAGGCCCTTCATACTCACCCCCATTGGTGCTACCATACTGTTGATCGCCTCCTGCTGATCACGCCACGGGGGAGTAGCCGTAGAAAATCTTCAGCACAGGATGAGCAACGGCGCCGCGGCCGCGAGCTCGCCTACGGGCACCGCAGCCGCCGGCAACAGCGAGGACTGGGCCGAGTTTTGCGATAGGCAGGCAAGGTACGCCGCTCAAGAGTTCGCCCGGGCGTTCTGCACGTACGTCAACGTCGAGCTCACCGAGATCGCCAGGACCAATCTCTCGTACAAAGACTTTTTGAGGAAGTTCTTTGAGAGATTCTGCGATCACTTCGAAGTGGAGTACAGCAAGCGTTCGGTCAGGTAATGGATTCGTACATGTACTTGTTGTATAGTTAGATCACCTGTTAAACCTCATCTTACTACTCTGGGTATTTTTATGATCTGCTCAACATGCTGATTTCATTTTCACATTTTTTGCGTTTATTTCCATTTTTGTAAGTACTTATATGTCTTCCCTCACACAGTTCCAAAAATTTCAGTTGCTCAATTACGGTGATGAATTTTTCCCAATCGAAAATTTTATGGTTAATTGTCAATAAGTAGTACCAAAATTCGAAATTAACGCGGTATGAATAGGGAATCAATAATAATTGCGTTCACTTTTCTGTGTCGGTTTTTTCAATTGTGTAGCATTATCAATCTGTCTCACTCAAGTAACGTCTCATATTAGAAGCCATTAAATTCACTTGTAGCTCACTTACCAATTATTCCGTTTTCAAGCATGATATAATACAAATGCACATCATTGTGGGCTTGTTATGGCTACACACGGTATAATAACTATTGTGGTTCAAGATCTCATATTCAATTTCATTCTGCAGATTTTAACATAATTGAAATAATTGGTAGCTAAATTTTTTACAAATCAATTTAAACACAATTTGAATCATTGAGCTGATTTTGTGGTGTGTGAATGCCGACCTGATGAGTTCTTAAAAAGTAATTTTATACAGAGTTTACAATGTTGCAGTCGATTAAACTGATGTTTAAACAAATGTAATTGAAGTTTTCATTTTTTTTTTTTTTTTTCCTTTAATTTTTGTTAAACTGAACTGATTTTATTGTTCGCTGATTTTTAGATCGCCATCGAGCCAAAATCTGAGGCTAACAGCATCCAACAACCGCATAAGCAATGCAATCAGCCAAAACAACAGGATATCCGTGAGAGCCTCTTCTAATGAGGAGTTTGGCAATCATTTGCAGCAAAATGGTGAAAAAACATCGCCGAAACCCACGCACAAACCTTTCTTCCGGCGCTTGTCTTTCAAGGGTCTGAAAAAAAGTAAGGCGTTCTTTCTTAAGCAGCAAAGCGACGATACCGAGCGAGCTCACGTAGAAAATCGCAAGGTCGACAAGCATTCAAAAACCAAACTTTCGAAAATCGTCGTCGAATGTAGAAAAGAAGGATACGTGAATGCGATGGTTGTCGAAAACGCCGATAATGCCGAGAACACAAACATCTCATTAAATAACACCGACAACACAGATGGATCCCAACAGTTTGAAAAGTGCAGGCTGTCCCTGGTCCGAGCCAGTGCGGGCTACATGCTCGAGTTCTTTTACTCCTCGAAATCTAAGCCACGCTACGGCATATTTTGCTCGGGTATATCGGAGACGCGAGAGACGACGGCTCTCGAGATGCCCGACAAAGAGAACACCTTTGTTCTAAAAACCGGGGAAAAGGAATTCATCATAGAGGCAAAGGATCCCGTCGATATGAAGTCGTGGCTGGCGACGATCAAATATTGCATACGAGATCCCCAGGGATTGCAGTGCGAGAGCAGTGGAAGCGATCTAATTGACGATGGGAGTTTGATGCACGGACTCGTCTCGATGCACGTCGATGAAGACAGGACTAGGGCTAATTCTGCGAGCAAAAGTATCCGTTCCAACACAGATCATTTGGATGAGCACGGCAGTAATCCACCAGAATTGCCACCGAGATTGAAGGCAAGAAGTAGCAGTAACTTGGAGCTGTGCTCATCGCAACAAGAAATCGAACAGAGTAAGCTCGAGTAAAATGCTGCATACACGCAAAATACTACCATTTTTTAACCAATTTTGCTAAAAATTCGGAATTTTAACTTTTAGTTGCAGGCAACGAGGTAGAATCTTTTGTAGATCTTTCAAGTAGTCTCCGAGAGTATCCGTGGTTTCATGGAACACTTCCAAGAACCGATGCTACGATGTTGGTCTTACACAACGGCACTGACGGCCACGGCACGTTTTTAGTACGACAGAGCGAAACGCGAAAAGGAGAATACGTTTTGACATTCAACTTCCAAGGGAAAGCCAAGGTAATGCAAATATTAGCTATTGAAAAAGTGTCGATTTTACCTAAAGCTAGTTCTTTTATGAGATTTCTTTGCATTTTAGCATCTGAGGATGACGTTGAACGACCAGGGTTGCCGAGTTCAGCATCTCAGTTTCAGCACGATTCACGACATGTTAGAGCATTTCCGCCAGCATCCAATACCTTTGGAGACGGGTGGAACGGCCGATGTCAAGCTCACTGAGTACGTGGTGGCGAACCTCGTGGTGCACGGTCAACCAGTCCTTCCTACCACTACCCTCAATTCTTCGTCACAATCATCGGACGCGACGATGCAACAAGAGCGCAGAGTGGTACCATTGCCGGAGCCTAGAGAAGTAAGAGTCTACAGTGAGAATCTTACTCCTCAGGAGTGAGCACCGATACCGTACGAGACAGCCAGTGCACGCTTCTGTGTCTGTCTATTTAATTTTCCCACAGTCTGATGTCGTGGTTTTTACATAAACAGTGAGTAGATAAAAAAACGCTAAGGTGACATCCGTGAGATATGTTTTATCCTTGCACAAGTCTCACAAAAAAAAACAACTAATAATAATTTTAAGTTTCTACATATGTATATTATATACATATACACATATAATTTTCTAATATTTTTCATACCTTGGCTCGATGCAACTAAAAATAATTTTACGTCTTACATATATAATTAACAGTTAAGAGTTAAATAAGTTGCTTCTTCACAATAATTAATTTTACTTCAAAACTTCGTTTGTCAAATTTTCATTACCTTTAATTTGTTTTTATTTTTCTTTATTAGATAATCAAACTGCTTTAGTCTTGAAATAATTTTATATTAAGAAATAATGGCAATTTATTTACTCACAATCCCAATTATTATGAAAAATAACAATTACATTTTAATGACTGGGGGATGGATACATATTAACCCTTAATACATGAAATAAAATTTCTGGTCGTCAACGATTCTACATTAATCAAATTATAAAATTCATCAAAGTAATTAGAAGTAGATGATGAAAAATGACTTGCATAGATCCAGAAATTTTAAACGAAAAGTTGAGTTGGTAAATAATTTACATTGATCCATTAATGCCTTAAAGACACATTTTTTTCCATAAAATAAGCTGTTTCTCAAGCAGCATCTCAAAAGTAGAAAATGGGTTGATTGTATTTAATTTTTATCTTCCTTACTTTGTTTTATTTTATTTTATTTTTTAAAACCTAGCCAATATTTTATAAACCTTGTTGAAGCTCTAGATTATTTTTGTTAATTTTCAAAACTTGTTGAAACAATATTTTATCATTACAACGTTCTTATGCTTTTTTGGCGTTAATGGGTTAACTCAAAACTTTTGGTCATCTGCACATCTTAAACATCCAACTCAAAACAGTTATTAAACTTCAAAAACTAACCAATAAATAAAATATATTTTTTATTAGCATAATTTATAATTGAGTGATTGTAAACTAGGTACAAACTTTTGCTGGTTCAATAAGACTTCGGACCGAATCGCTCGAGAGAATTGAACAACAGCAACTACAAGTACAACAGCAACAGTTGCAACATCAAAGTAATATCACAGGTGAGCAACAGGCTACGGCAAATCGGGCTGTTCAGAATGCATATAGCTTTCTTTGACGCTGGATGAGCAAAACCTTACCAAATCGTTATCACCCGGTTGGACCCTACGATTAAAAACTGCTCCAACGAGTCACGTTGCAAGTGTGTATAAATGATATGCATATGAGGTCGCGATCTGCAGTTGTTTTATTGGATTTTGTAAAAATTTAGTTACGTAGTTTTTACTTATATGACTCCATTACCCTTGACATTAGAAATTTTATTTTTGAAATGTTTAATTTTTTTATTGTTGCCATTTCTTTCACAATTCGGGTTTGACTTGAAAAAATGTTTTAAAATCAATCAAATGTAATAAAGATACAGGACGTTCAAATTTCGTTAAATTAAGGAGTGACATCTCGTGCGTCAATGAGATTTAAAATTTGATTATTTTTTCTTTATATGAAAAAAGAAAAATTTGTGCCCAATTTATTTCCGAGTGGCCCCTAGTCGATTAAAATGAGGTTAAACTCAAATTATAAGTATTTTGAGACATTTTTCAATTAATTTTTATTTTTAAAACTATGTCACTCACTCAAGGCTAATCAGGGAAATTCATAAAGTATAGTATTAAAGTATTTCTCGAAACACCTGAATAGTACAGATATATCGCGTTGGTTTTAAAGTAACATTTTAATATTAACCATTTCAAAAATTATAACCCTGTATATGTATAATGTACGTTAATTTGTTTGCAACTCAGTTCCTTTAGAGAAAAAAAAATATTCTGCCATAAAAAAAAATCTGTATATTTTACGTGTAAAAATTTCGGACAGAAAAGTTTTAAGAATATTTTGAGACAAAGTTGCTTCGGCGGTGATTGAGATTAATCAATAGATTTTTTATTACTAATCAAATTCCTGCGTGATTTTAGAATATAAAAGGTTGTTTGCTTTTGTAATATACTTTTTAATGGACTTTAAGTAGCTTATTATTGCAATTTTTTGAAATTTTTAGCTTCCTTAAATGCTGTCAGATTCAGATGTATGTTTATCAATGTCCTTAATTATATCTTATTTATTTGATACATGTATAAACTACATCACGCAGAAGCTTTATTACATTAATACAACGAAATGCCATAAGTTATCAATGCAACAACAGGATTTAATAATGATTGTCTTTTAAGTCATTTAAATTATTTCCTAGTACTTTAGGGCTATTATTATTTTACGTTTTTCATAGTTTTGTCTTGTATTGGAATTTATGCTGTGCTACTTGCATTCCCAATTTTTATAAGTATATTTATATACATACATGCATAGAATATAAAGTGCAACCTTAAATGAAATATGTACCATAGAAAAAAAAGGCACCTGTGCCTTGAAAAACCAATTGTAAACAAACTTTATGCTCATTTTAGTGACAATATTTATAACATTAAAATAAGAACTTCGCTTGCAATGTTATTGCATTAAGTTGCTATTTTTTGATGATAAAGACTAGTTTTATGACTTTATACGATGATATTACTTTTGTTATATATATATTTAATTTAATTGAGAATAAGATATGAAAAACTGAGTTTTTGAATGGTATGTAATATATAATGGATTAGAATGTGTGCAAAATATGTAATGGTGTGTAATATATATAAATATAATGTAATATACATTCGTAATACATGATGGCGTTTTGTAATTACGTTCATCTTTCCATACATTTTCGTATTTTGACAGTTTTACCATCGCAGTTTCAAAAATTGAGACCTGTAGTCCACACAACAAATTAAATATGATGCAGATATAAAGTATTCAAATATGGGATTGTTACTTTTTCTTGAGATAGAAAAAAAAATAATAAGAAGTTAGGAGAGAAATTGCAACAACCATTGGGTAAGTATGGTAGACAATATCAGTATCATTTAATATATAATAATTTTGTAATAAATTTATTATTCTAATGTAACCTGATGGTTCTTGCATGATGAAAGATAACAAAAAACATTGCATGACATATGTATAAATTTATTATTACAAATTTAATGCTGTAAGCTATTTATTTTACAATCTTCAACTAATCAAAATATTTTCCATTGTATTTACAATATGTTATAGTAAGTGAAGATAAATTTGGTATTGAAATAATTTACTTTAAAGATAAAAATATACTGTAGGTATGTCTAAATGCATAAAGAAATTATTTATACAACTTGAATTATAAACATAAAACTGTAAAGCGTACTTGACTATGAAATGCTCTGATGTTACTAGTAAACTGGAATGTCTTAATTGTTTGAATGAAACAAATACTTATTAGAAATTTAATTCAAAAAATGTGTGATTAGCAGTCCAATACTCTGCTCTATTTAAAAAAAATGTTAACGAATACGTATATATTTAGTGCATACAAATTCCTGGTAGAAAAAAGACTTGTTTCCATCTTTAAAGCTATTCAGTGATCCTGCACATAAGATTTGTAAATATTAGACTTAGTTTCTAAGTGAAAATTTTTATTTCTTTATTTTATACGCAGTTAAATGAAAATGCAATAAAAAAGATGAATCTTTCTACCAAGTATTTGATCAAGTATCGTCTTTTTTTTATGTCCACCTTCAAAGCGAAGGGCTACAAAAAAAGATTAACGCACTAGGTTTCATTATTCGATAACTGCAACGAATTTACCGAGCGTCGTCTTTCTTGCTGCTGCATTTTTACCCACTGTCTATGCTCACACAGATAAGGATAAAGGGGCACAACCATCACGCTTATATCATCGACTGATGCCATCGACATCATGTCGTCCTCACCGTTCTCTTGGATTTCGGACTTTAGTCGCCACATGCGTCCCACTAGTCTGCCCCTCGCAGCTTGAACCAGTTCTTGGGCCGCCATTGTCAATCTTAAATTTAATTTTTCAACTTTTTATAAAACCACAATTTTTTACTTGTTTTGAAAAGTATGATTTTTTACCTATACTCCAAAGACGGGTCGTCAGGTGCCACAGTTCTTCTAAGAATATTTGCAGCTGTTTTATCGGAAACTACATCCCAAAGGCCATCGGTTGCCATAAGAATACAATCCCTTTCGTTAAGGTCACATGATTCCAAGTCTAATGATTGAACTTCCGGTTGCGATGATAAAAATGGTTTTATACTGACTCCTGTGTTGGCCGCTTTCAAGCCATGGTCTCCAAAACCTCTAGTCACTCCTATTGTACCCATTACTCTACTCTAAAAGTGCATTAAATAATTATTGACCGTCAAAACAGATGTATTTTCAAGCTCTTGAGATCACTTTACCCTTTTTCCTTGGCCAGATATCAGAGGCAGCCTCAAGTCAGGTTGAGCCAAGACTTTGTATGCCCATCCTGTCATGTACGGTTCTCTGTACAAAACCAAAGAGCCAATATCCCTCTGTAATGGTCTTTTTTTAAACTCTAAAGGTGTAAATTGACCCTTTAAAAGTTCTGTTCCTTTTAAGTATCCAAGAGCTCGCACGCGATTTGACTCAGAGTCAGGCGTATGATCTCTCGTTAGTGCCGATTCCCTTTCTCCCAAAACAAGAATTGTTCTGAAAAATTTGCATTTTACCAAATTTATCAATTAAAGCTCTAATACTTTCTCACAGCAATTACAAACCTAGAATCTCCAGCTCCAGCCGCGTAAAGTTTGCCATTTAAAAACAATACTGTCAAAGATGTGCATCCACCTCCACCTCTTTGTGCTTGCTGTTCAACCATTTGATCCATTTGCCTGTAAGCGAGTTCAATCGCTCCTATCACTAATTCTTGACCTTTGTTACCTTCCAACATTAAAACTTCGCCTGGTATTGCCATTAACCTTTCCTAAAATATTAATGAAAAATTTTAATTAATGATACTCTTGAGAGCAATTTGTACAAAACGCACCAAAATTATTCTGTGAAGGTGTAGTCTGGCAGTTAGTGCCACTTGATAGCCAGCATGGCCATCAAACATTGAAAACATAACATAGGGTAAACTTATATTGGTATCTAGTAATTTTAAGTCTCCTCTCATTGCAGTTGCTTGGTCCTCATTCCATGTGCTTTTGCCAGCATTTATGCATTCGGCATAACCCGCACACCATGGTAATCTACTGAGATCTCTGGGAACAATGATTGGCCTCACCTTGTGATCAGCACTCACCTAAAAAATTTACGCGTTTTTTTTTTTTTCATTGTTATTTTATATCTCCATCATGACAATCATAAAAATTACCTGAGTTTCGTCAGTTGTGAGACCCAAAAAACTTGGTCTGCTGTAAGGCTTGGTTTCGACTGCAATTGGCAAGTTGGAGTTTATCAGGTCTGTGACAGATTCATTATCTACATCGTTAGCATACTGTAATCCATATTCACTAGTACTAACTGCGCTCATTAACGCTGTTTTGAATCTTCCCAACATTTTGGTTTTTGATTGTTTACCAAATCAAGTACTCTCTATTACAAATACTAGCTTTTTTTAATAATAATAGGAATGTTGCTTGAGCTGTCTCGTGCCTTCTTGACATTAGAACTACTTCCTATCACATTGCATACATGTGAAAGTAACAACTATAGTTCACACAGCGAGGCTTATCAAATTCAGTAACACCAGTGACGTGCTAACCCATTACCAATTAATATCTGCTTATAGTTAGAATCAACTGAAAAATCGTTAAATACTGTATTTTTTCATTTAAATGCTATTGGTAATACTTTAAGTGTAGAAAGACGTCGTCTGGAGAAGGCATGTACAGGTTGCCAAAGAAAAGGAGTTGAGAAAGAGAGACAGGTAGGCACTGTAGGCGGCTGCAGCTGTGGCCAGGTGTTAGGCCAACATGACATTTCTGCACCTATACACTCAAATAATCCACCTCTCTCCTTCTAATTTCGTTCGTACTTTCTGTCCAGACTCAACATTACACATGGCATAGTCGAACGATATTTCTCATTCAACGAGATAAGTAACAGAGTAAGATTGTGATGTGTTGCAATAAGTATATTTGCTAGGGAACCGAGCGCAGTGGCGCGCGGAGAGACTTTATCTTTTCTTGCTTGGCCTCCTCTGTTTTAATTGTGTTGCGCGAGCCCGCAAAAGGCTCTTTTGCAGTCTACACAGGACTTCACGTATATAAGCACAAGCACACTGCCTCACAAACTAACAAATTAATACAAAACTTGTAACACACCTTTTGTTTATTTTTTTTTTTTTGTTTTGCTGCTGCTTATTCTCGTCGTCTGTCACTCCTCTCTCTCTCTCTTCTGCTCCCGCTGCGGAATGCAGATGCGGATTTGCGGATTGCAATTGCAATGCAAATGTATATTTATATATGTACACAAGAGGCGTCAAGGCGGCGCGCGCAAAAGTGGCGCAGCCCGACAAACTTTGTAATCAGCTGTTATGGTCCGCCAAACGACACACTCGTTGCTATACATAACAAATCTTGTTTAGAATTGTTTTTAATTTAATTTATGAGCGAGTTTGTAGTTATCTCGAGTGGTGTGATTGTTGTTTTATCCTTGAGCTGAAGTTGGAGATGCCGGAGAAAATGTCGGACAGCAAGAGTAAAACCAAGAGGCCTAGGCTTTCCAGCGAGGTTTGTTTGATTGTCATTGTTTTTTTTTTTTTTTTTTTTTTTGCTAAAAAAGACTCTTCATCGCTTTTTCTTCTGGCCAAAAAAAAATTGGGGATACTTTGAGGTTTGCTGCGTGTACTTAATGTTAAGGTTATTTCAAATGTTGAATGTCTCATTTAAGGAGTCCTACAGCAGCTCTACCAGCACGTCATCCATGAGTTCTTCGTCCGACGAAGAAACGGATGCCAAGGATTTAAAACCCATAGGCGAATATCTAACTAATAGAACGGAACTTGCTGCGCAACTTTTCAAATCTGTCAAAGCAGAAAAGATCCGTATGATGCTACCACAAATCATGAAGGTAAATACTTGCCTATGTACAATTGTCAATGTAATTTTTTTTTGTTAATATGCATATAATATTCATGTTATTTTTCTAGAAAATGGATCTTGATGAACTGCAAGAGTGGTGTGCTGCTGAATTGACGGGCATGTCAAAAAAGAGGATCATGTGTTGTATAAATGATAAACCAATGTTGGAATCTTCAGAAACGGACGAGTCAGATGACTCAGGTAAATATTGTTCATTTATTTGTTTACAACCCAAGAAAGAATGTACAGAGTTATATTTTTGTATCATCATTTACCTAGGTCCTTCTCTTGAGATTATTTCTGATACAGAGTGGATAAGCGAAGATGAACCTAGTGTGAAAGTTGAAGGAGTAAAGTCAAAGAATAAAAAAGATTCTAAGAAGCCAAAGAAAAAAGTTTCAGTGCAAAAAAATCAAGATGCCACAAAGAAATCCAAATTGAGAACGAAAGTTAAGGGAAAACCGGAAACGGATGGTAAATCACAAGTTAAAATCAAAACAGAAAAAATAAAAACAGAAAAGATAAAAACGGAAGATAAACCGAAAGCAAAAGAAAAAGAAGGTGAAAGTCTTTTAGATCTTTTAGAGCTGGAAATGAGAGCAAGAGCCATCAGAGCTTTGATCAGAAAAGAAGCAGGTGTCTCTAGCAAAGTAGATGCACCTAAGACTAACGCGGAACCTGGAACGTCATCCGACCAAAGTGCCAAGGCTAGACAAGTCAATCTAAAAGAGCAACTAGAAAAAATTGATGTCCTCATTAAGCACGGAGATGATGAAGATGTTTTTGTAGTTATTCAGCCAGCTCCCACTATCGAGTTACTTTCCAGTGAAAGCGAAAATGAGGACCACTCTAAGCGTGTTAATAAAAAGTTAGCGACTGAAAGACGATCTGAAAGTGAAAATGTCCAAGAGCAACCGAATAAAAATCCATATGCAGATGCAACCAAAAATGCGAGCATTAATCAAGATACTAGTGCTAACAAAGAAAAAGACAAGACGAATGAAGCGAGCACTAGTAAAATAAAAGATAAAGATATCGTTAGTAAAAAGGTAGAAAATCGAAAAGAAAGTTCCAGTTTGCCAATGAGTGTTACTGAAAACAATGCAGATGATAAACAAGAACAATCAAATAAGCCTAACGAAGAACTTGAAGATGGAGAAATCCTTGATGACGGAGAAGATGTCGGAATTTCTAGTCAAAAAGCAAATAATTCCAATGAAGACGTGACTCTCAACAAGATTAAAAAAGTGAAGAAAAACCTACACATACGTTCCAGAAGAAAGAGCAAAGATAATGATATTTTTGATTTGGAGTCTGAAACTTTGAATAAAAAAGTGATTAGATCAAGGAATGAAAATAGCAAGATTCAAAATGTCCAGGTCAATACTATTGCAGATGAGCCGATAGAGATCGAAGAATCACCAAGAAGAGAGACTGAAGTAGAAAAAATAGGAAAATCTAATGAGGAAAGCATACAAATTGATCTGGACGATGATAAATCCTTGGATATAGAGGAGATTATCAACTTGGACGATTACCCTGATGACATGGATATCATAGAAAAAAATGAAACTAACGATGATGAGCCGGAAAGTGAAAAAACAACGAATTCTGACATCAAGGCAACAGAAAAAACCGCTTCTTCATCGACTCATTCGGAAACCTGGGCAACACGCTATGTTAAGCAAGACGACGTTCAGAATGTGATAAAAGAATCAAAAATACAGTCCGAAATACGTAAGAGATTAAGAGAAAGACAGAGGCAGAGTAAAATGAACAATTCTCCAAAGATGAAAGATAATGAAGTATTACAGCCAAGTTCCGAGTATGAAATGCAGAAACCTACAGGTTCTGTCGAAGAGTATTTGGCATTGAAGGCTCTCCAATCCAATGAAAAAATAATTGGTATTTCCGAAGATAGTACGAACAGCACTGGCTCTTCTAAGTCTTTAGTACTAAGTGAGTCACTTTCAAGTACAAATACTGCAATAGAAAAAAAATCTGTGAGCGAAAATCAATTTACAGAGATAGCAAAAAAATCGGACAAGTTACATTCGAATGCTACTGCAGAAAGTATTTTTTCAAAGGACAAATACAAAGAAGCACAGAAAAAAACTAATAAAGAAGTATTTGTCAGTGAAACCGCTACTAATATTGTGGAGGATAGCATTGATAGCACTATCTTTTCTAGCCCTACAGTAAGGGGTAAGTCACCATCGAGTAAAAATACAGTGATAAAAACACAACCCACAGATGATGTAATTACAGTGAGTACGGCAAAAGATCCAGAAAAATTGAATCTCGCAGCAGCTGCAAAACGTGATTTGAAAAAAATGGAACGCAAAGCAGCGGAAAAAAAAACCAAGCAGAAAAAATCACCCCGAAAAAAAATCACGAATATTTCAGAGGATCGTGCAAATAGTACAAGCTCTGCCAAATTTCTGGTTCAGAGTGAAAGTGAAAACATCAAAGTAAAACTAGAGTGTGTACCGGTAAGTAATAGTTCATTGGTACAGGTGGCGATGGAATCAGAAAAATTTGATGTCAAAGTTGAAAGTAATCCGCTGAAAGAAAAAAACGAAGCGACGAACGAACAAACTGAGCCTAAAGTACTAGACAGTGAAAGTGTTGCTAAAGATAGTGCCAACAGCACTAGCTATCCTAAATCTCCAGTCCAGAGTGAGTCTCTTTTGAGTGAAAGTTTGTTGGTAAAAAAAGAATCTGTATCTACCAGCAACGACACACTATCAGAGGTGGTTGAAGAATCAAATGTAAATACTGTATTAAAAAGTGAACAAGCGAATAAAGGACTCATTGAGCAAGTATCAGTGATTGATGAAATCAAAAAAGAAATCAAGGAAGTGCCAGACGAGGAAAACGAACTAGCCACAGTTCTTAGTACGATAGTTTCAAATGAAGAAGCAAAACTGGATTGTTCGGAACCGGGTGATGGTGGTAATGATGGCACAGGCTACCCGGCAAGTGAGGATGTGACTCGTGTAAAAAGTGATTCCCGCGAAGGAAGTAACGTTAGTAAAAGGACAGACGACGACGTGCTTGCGATTCCAAAAACCGATGGAATAGCGAGTCAAGAAAACGGGGGACGTACTGTACAGGATACAGAGAGCGATCAAACGAGTGAAGATCCGCGTCCGTGCGCACTAATTTAATCACAATCATTGTAATGTATATACTTGCATGTGCTGTACAATTAATCTTAAATTATATTTTTTCTAAGCATCGTAAATCATCGTGATTTTTTACCGTACTTCGTTTTATTATTTTTCAACGAGCAGAGTTTAAATGCTTACGTTTGGTTGGAGGGGAAAGGGAGAAAATAATTATCTAGTTTAAGGGATAGAGCGCGTAGTCGGTAGCTTCGCGAGCAAACAATCGGCTAATGATATGTCAATACGGCTGAGCTAATCAAGCGGCTGTGCCAACTGCGGATCGATTGGACGTGACGAAACTACATGTACATAGTACTATGTGTGTACAGGTATACGTTGTCTTCTATCAATGGTTCACTTTTCATTTGACGATGAGTACACCCAATCGAATTTCGAATCAGTAATTTTGTTTTTCAATACCAACATTTGTCGTCCACGTTTTCTGTACCATTTTTTTTTTATTTTTTACATTTCCTTTAATCGAAAAATGTTGGTGTCGTATCTTCACGTTTTCGATTTCGAGTCTACATACCTATTGATGTTTCGTCCAGCTATTCCGAGGAACTTTGATATGAAAAATAAACAAATAAGTAAATAAAAAATAATGCGACAGTAGGTTGATTTTGAGAAAAAGAGCATGTCCATGTACAGGAATGTAATTTATTTGTATCATTCCTACAAAATGTAATGTACCTTTTTTAATTTTTTTATTAGATACATTGCACCAATCCCGAAAAACATCTACAATAAATGGTGGGTGTTATAAAAGTGGCCAAAATCATTGAGTAGAAGTCGTAGATAGGTATCCACTGACTTTTTTTTTTTTATCGAGTTCTAAGCTGCCCAGAGCTTGAAAAATCGTATTTCCCAGCATAAATGCGAATTTCAACTTGAGAGACAATAGTGTTTGCCACACAAGTGCCATATCCAACCGGGGCTAGCGGCGATATAGTGCTATTGTGACAAAAATGACTACTTATTCTGTAACGACACGTACACTTTTTTCATGGCTATAAGCCTTATTTTTAAAATCGAAAAACTAAGCGCCCATACCTCGAATACATGTCCTCTACCCCCCAAAAAAAAACATCGAAAACAAGGTCGGCTACGGGAATTCCGTAGATGTACGAAAAGTTGTCAGCCCCTACCTGTAGTATAGGTATATATACGTAAGAATGGGGGCGGGGGGTGGGAAGTAAGAGCGAGAGTCGCTCTCCTGGTCCTAATGGCGTCAACAAACAAAAGTGAATCGATTTGAAATAATGGCACGCAGCCCGAGCGCGGCGGCAGAGAGTAGCTTGCCAAGGGGCGGCGAGAAAGCTCGCGACAAATAAAAGCACTCAGCACGAGCGGCTTTATCCTTATATACAACTGTCTCGGGCGTCTTGACGCTCTTCGAGTCGCTGCTTTCTTCTATCTGTCTCTCTTTGGTCTCTTCCCCCTCCCCCCCTTATTTTTCTCCTTCATTCAGGCGAGAGAGGCCACTTGGACGCAATCGCGAGGCGCGCGTGCCACACCCCCTCGACAGTTTTCCCTTTTTCCGCTTGCCTTTTCCTTGATCCCTCTCTCCCTCTCTCTTTACTTGCCTCGTCTGTACTTACCTATTCATCTCTCGCTCGCTGCTTCGCGGAGGACTCCATGCAGGAAGTCATTTTCGTTAGAGGCGCCGCTGCGAGAGAGCATCCGACTTTCTTTTTTTTTTTTCGCACTTTCTCGCTGTTTTCTTTTCTTCTGTTTGGATTTTCGTTAATCATATAGATATCGGATCGAAGAAAAAAAAAAAAAATCAATCCTTTTTCGTCGCATTCAACAGAACACAGATTATTTTATTACTTACACGAAATTATGCATGCTTAATTCTCACACAAGTAAGAGCCGAACGAATAATGCGCGGTGGTTGATTTAATTTTAATGATTTTACGTCTGTCGGCTAATATAATTATATATATATATGTGTATAAACTATTGTGTATGGAAATGCCCGTGAGGTATAATTTTTTTTCCAAGTCTACAGCGCACAGAAATAAATTTGAAATTCAAAAACAGGACGAATCATATACGATTTCTAAAACCAATAAATAATTTACAAAATCGTTTCATTTCAGTACACAGTCCTGATGGTGAGAAAAAAAAAAAAAAAGAAAGAGCGGAATTAGGCAAGGGACGGAAGGGGAAATCGAAACCGGGCGGCAAAGTTGGCCGCGAATCCATTTCCGTCCCTCTCCCCCCTACACATACCATATAAGTAAGTAAGTCTTTATTTGGCACAAATATACATACACAGCGGCGGCAGCCTCGACTTTTCTTATTTCGCGCTCGACCGAGTGTCTTTCCATGACCTTCCTAACTAACGCTTGATAGGCAATATACCTATACAGCAGTGCGCGGTGCTTAACTCACTGCTCGCCGAAAATTCCCCCCCCCCCCCCGAAAGAGAAAAAAGTGTACGTATATATACGTATAGGGTATTTCCTCCCGGTAATGGGACTCCGGTTCTGCAGCTTTTCCCAACGAGCGCCAGGCGAGGGAGACGAGTTTTATGCTTATTCAATTGAATTTAGATACAGTCCAATTTTTTATTAACGCTATCAACTTTTTCGACACCTTTTTACTGTAAATTGTATTTTTTTTTTTTTTTTTTTTTTTTTTTTTTTTCCAACTGTAAGTATATACAATTTTGATATGCCGCACTCTTTTGCCTGAAGCTTTTTCCAACTGTACCCTCTAAAAAAACCTTGGCGCCATTTTTTTCTGTTAAAAAATGTGGCCAAGTACTGCCTTACAAGTAGGTGATGGTATAATGAAATAAAAAAAAATTATCCACCCCACCGCACGGGTGGCGATATATGCACAGTTATAATAAAATTGGCGCTCGAGTGGCCAAAAAACGCGGGGGAGAACGATGACCACGCGGACACAGAGTCGGAGCTAGCGTTAAAAAAAAAGAAAAAAAGAAAAAAACTGGGGATCCACTCGTTTCTCGTTAAATCGAGCGTAATAACGCTCAAAATGGGGGACGTGCAATATTTGCGCGGATCCGAGAGCAAAGGGTGGCGAATGGAAGGAGCTGCCGGTGGACGCGGTCGGTGCTTTTAATTGGACGCGCTCGCGCCCGGGGAATTGATATTGGGAACAAAAACTTCAATTTCAGCCGCGTCACGTAGTCGCGCCCACCACCGGCCGGATGGTACAATTGACCGCTGTCCATTACACGGACGACACAGACGTACCTATATATGCATCTGGTACGTCTCTCTCGTTTCGCACTCCATATGCAGGTCTTTTTCGTCCTTTTGTGCTTGCGCTCGTATATTTGTAGAGCTCACCTGATTTGCGACCCTCCTCCTCTTTACGCGACCACCATCTTTTGATCCTTTCGCGTGCTTTTCTCCCACCGACATTTTTTTAACATTTTTTTCTTCCAATTTGCCGTTTTTCCTGGATTATTGAACCCTTTGGATGTGTATTTAAAAAAAATTACACGGTCAACTAGAAAAAGTGTACCCATTATACGTAAAAAAAAAAATATTAAAAAATGGTTCATACAGTGAACTGCTCGTTAGGGAAAATTTTTTATTTTCATGAACTCGAATTAATAGTGCAAATCCCTGGATGTGACACCTATATTAAATTTTGTGATCGATAAAAGTATAATTTTAATCTTGAAGAAAAAAAAAAAAAAAGAAAAAAAAAAAATTGTTTTTTACGTTGAAGCGTTAAAAACAATTTAAACTACTTATAAATGCCACCCAATCAAACGGGTCCAAGACATGTATGAGCAAAAAATCGTCGGACAGAAGGATAAAAAATGATTCCCAGGGAGCACATCGCTCGGGAAATCTCGTTCCGCGAGCTCTTATCTGATTGAACAAAAAAAGGAAAGAAGGTGGGAAATAAAAAGTTCCGCGAATGTATGCAAATGGAATCCAGCGACCGAGTAATGAATAAAAATATCAATTTGCCGTTGACGAAGGCGTCCCGTATACATGTATATATACATATACACGGCTGTTGTACCCGGAGCATTCCGCGCGACCAGCCGAGCGTCAAATTGAAAATCGCAATTAGTTAATCGGTACGGTGGCCGCGCGCACCATCCCACCCCCCATCCAGCAATTGTCCGTTGTCTCTCTGCTACACGTACGCTACTAATATACGTGTTCTGCAGTTATTTGTGTTGCATGGTATATATTCTATTACAGTGTGGGTATGTAGAGGATAAAGAAAGGGTAAAGCGAACGCTTTGTGATTCTACGGGTAATTTCGCGCTGTTGACACCGATGCCGATGATGACCGTTCGACTATAGCCCTTGAAACGAGGATTTTCAGTGTACGAACAAATTCACGGGAAAGAAAATCGGAGAAGTGGGTGTAATAGGGTGCCTTCGTTTCATCAACTTTCATACAGCGTCGAATTAATATTTTTCAAATGCGAGAGAAATTAATTTTTTTTTTTTTCAAATCTCATTTTTTCAACTGTCTCGAAATTACTAATTGGTGAAAATTCAATCAATTCGCAATGGGAAATGTTTTTATTTGAATCGGAAATACGTTCAAATTGACGTACTGGGCTTTTTTGCGTCACTTTTGTCAGATCGATCGATCCCTGAAGTTTCGATCTCTCGAATAACGGACGGATTTCGAGGAAGCAATCATTTAAGCCAAATATTTTAGTAAAAGCTGTTTCGACACGCCAAATCCTATAGGCCCTTTCAAAATATTTCCAATAAAAAATGATTATTTGTACCAACTTTATTTTTATTATAGTTTCCTCTTTTTTCATTTTGCTTTTTGTAATCCTAGGAATTTTCG